AAACTTAAGGAAGTTGTACCATTTAGCATGTATATCGGGATTCAGACAATAACTCTGAAAGATACACTCATGGACAAAACTTAAGGAAGTTGTACCATTTAGCATGTATATCGGGATTCAGACAATAACTCTGAAAGATACACTCATGGACAAAACTTAAGGAAGTTGTACCATTTAGCATGTATATCGGGATTCAGACAATATATCTGAAAGATACACTCATGGACAAAACTTAAGGAAGTTGTACCTTTTAGCATATATATCGGGATTTAGACAATAGCTCTGAAAGATACACTCATGGACAAAACTTAAGGAAGTTGTACCATTTAGCATGTATATCGGGATTCAGACAATAACTCTGAAAGATACACTCATGGACAAAACTTAAGGAAGTTGTACCATTTAGCATGTATATCGGGATTTAGACAATAACTCTGAATGATATTTGATATTCAGTGAATTTTATTGAAGACACACGAAATAACTAAATGTGAACAAAATTGCTTCTGTCTCCTTCAAAAAAAAAAAAAAAAAAAAAAAACAGACCACCGGCGATATCAAAGATTTTCCACTTCCTTAAGTTTTTGTCCATGAGTCATATTTTTATTGTGTAAATATATAAATAATAATTCAATTTCCAACTGTCGCTATGTAATGTAGATTGATTTTTTTTGCCCCTGTGAGAATGTTCTCATGAAAATTTATGATTAAAGCGTTCAGGTAGATTAAACTGACGAAATTGGTAGGAGGATGAGCCAGCCACTGATGACTCAGTTCCTCTTAATAATTATCACTTTGAGTAAGTAGTGTGATTGTACAAAATTGATGGAATTTAAAGAAGTATCTAAAAAATGTTGATATTCACGATAATCGAAGATGGGGCAGCGTCGTTTGTTTTAATTTATATCAGACGATTCACTCCCCTAAGACTAGTATACTTCCTCAATCAGAATCCTTCAAGACAGACGATCTATAGCCATGGACCTTGGTCCAATTGGATCCATTCATTGAGGATTTTCGTGGGGAAAATGCGGTGGGTTCCCCTTAGCCTTCCGCATTGGTGAAATCGCTGGGAAGGTTCACCACTGATGAGTCTAGCCTTCCTAAATCATATTTATCTTCAATTTACTGATTGTAGAAATTCGACCTCTATTCTAAAAAAATATATAGCATCGAATATTTCTACACCGTCTTCCAAATATATACAGTTAAACCCGTCTATAGCGCCCCCTCTAAATAGCGCCTCCCTCTCTATAGCGTCCGATTTTAAATACGTAGTACGATGCGATTTACATTAAAAGTGATCTGTCTATAGCATCCTATTTTGGCGAGTCCCAAGAGAGGGCGCTATAGACAGGTTTAACTGTATTATTAACTTTACGCCCGTTAAAGAACGATGTCGTTCGAAATCTAACAAAATAAACATGTTCTATAGAAGAATCTCCTTTTGAGTTTATAATCTTTCAATATAGTTATGGTAATGTTGATGTCTACAAAATTCTAATCTAATTATGAGATTGATTGTCTTAATTAATCTCTTTCCTATATATAAATTTTCATTAAATTACCATTAAATGTAATTAGCTTTTACTTCTTTTTATTCTTTTCATTTGTAGACTCCGTGGTAAATCCATGTCTAAGATTAACATAGAACTTAATAAAGATTTTGTGTGTGTAATTAAAGTTTATTTATACAGCATTTATGCACTGCAATGAATAAAAAATTGAAAGAGGGAGGGTATGATTCATCTCAGTGGTGACCCCTCCCCTCTTAGCGGTTTCACCATTTTAATCTCCAGATCACTACACTATTGTATTGGATTAAATTTCCTCAATATGCCCTGCCTGTTAGAGGCTTATTTGTGATTTTGTGGAAGAGCATTGCTAGATGTATTATATCTTTAATTTATATATGTACGTATTTTTCAACAGTCCTAGAAGCATATGTCCATAGTTTGTTCAAAATACCAATTTACTGTATTCAATAGCAAGTGCAGGGTATGTAAGAAACTGAGCCTAATATAAATATAAAAAAGTCAGTGGACGAGTGGGTAACACACTCGATTCCCAACAGTCATGAACCGGGATCCCGCGTTAACATTTTGTTTAATATGTGAATAACCTTCACATATTAATCATTGTTTCAATTATCATAAACTAGGTTGCTCTTGCTGAGCGGTACCTAATAAAGTGATTTTGGAACCCAATCCAATACAATAGTGAAGCGGTCTGGAGATAAAAATGATGAAACCGCTGGGAGGGTTCACCATTAATGAACCATACCCTCCCTCTTTCCATTTTTTTTCATTGCAGGATGAAGGCTGTAGAAATAAATTTGAATTATATATATTTTGGAAGAAAAGTTGCGTTAAATATATGTTTATAATTTTCAGCGATAAATGACGCCAAGTTAATGGTGATTATTAAATTCCACCTTCAACAACTAGGACCGTATCACGTGCATAAAAAAGTGTCGGAACAAATTCCTAACAAGGAAACATTTTCAATCAGCCATCCAAACAGTTTCATTTTGTCATGGGACCTCTAATTGTATCCGCTTGGTTTTTTCCCCACTCTGTGAGTGGAAAATTCTGTGACTATACTTATCATCATCATGCAACTCGTGCATACTGATAAACCCTATTTGCACATACTGCTTCTATGATGAAAGCTCCACTTCTCACTTATTCACTCCGTGTTTTATAAACAGTTAATTGATATTATACAGTTAGAGACTGATTGTTACACTTTTCTTTTACTCAACAGAAGCGTAAGATTTCGTTTTTGGGGTTATATATTGGAATTGTGCATAGATATGTGTGGTTAATAGGATCCTAATACCATCTTAAAATGGAATTTAGATATATATACAATTTGTTTTGAAAATAGAGCAATCCATACTTAATTCATTAGATAATAAAAAGGCATATATTGGATCTAATAAAAGATTTATTTTGCCAATATTTCGGCTGGCTAAACGCCAACCTTTATCGAGGCATTACATTTTTGTATACATAAACTCAGCGCCCTACACTATGCGGCACTGAGTTTATGTATACAAAAATGTAATGCCTCGATAAAGGTTGGCGTTCAGCCAGCCGAAATATTGGCAAAATAAATCTTTTATTAGATCCAATATATGCCTTTTTATTATATAATATATATAGAATATTTCTTTTGGGGTTGTCCCTCCTTTTAAACTAACTTAAAAACTTCGTGTCAAAAGGATTTTGAATCGACTTGTGTTGAAGGTAAAATCTGCGGGGAACTTATACAATTATAAAAGTCTCTTAGTATATTTGATAGCTTCTATATGCTCCTGGAGTTGCTGTCATTATATCTCATCTTATTTCTTAGATTTCTTTGATCATATAGCATGTCAAAGTTTGTGGATCTTGAGCTTTATGGTTGAGAGAAATGTGTTTGTTTTCGTCGCTTAGACTCGGAACACTTCTCTCAGTAACTTACTCCTCAGTATCTAATTGAAATTGTTATTGTGATTGGCAAAAAATTTAGCTGATAAATTGGAAATCAAAATTCTTCGAAATGAAATTTGCCCACTTGCTAACTGTTTTGATTGTTATTTCTCTGGTAACATGGAAAAATGAAACTAAGTTTACCCAGATTAAATACGCTGAATTTATAAACAAAACTTACCTTTAAGTATCCTTGCGTACATGTCTGTTATCCCATGGCACTGTCAAGGCACTCCTATGCCTTACTAATAAAAGTAATAGCCGTTACTCCTCAGTATCTCCATTATTGAAGGGCCACCAACTCTGACATGAGGAACAGATGCCATGTACAACCGGCCCTAACTACAGACACTGTCAGTCATTAGCTCTTACAGTGTACTCTTATCTGAACTTAGGTTATTTAGAAAGCTTGTTACTGCTCTCCCTCCTTCTTTATCAATCGGGATTGAGATCGGCAAATGCGGAGTCATATTCCCTGTTAAACATCAAGACATGTTTTAACTCTTTTTCCTATCTCTTCGTAAACACAACTCTTCAATACGTATAATTCCTTAATTTTTAAAATTTTATTTCAATTTAAAGCACTATATCCCCCTAAGGACACTTGCGCTGTTATACATGTATGCCTTTACAATTGTCTATACATATATTTACAATAATTTTAGGCCGTGAAGAATAGTCATATGATGTTAACAATGAGAAAGAGAGAGGGGAAAAAAAAACAAGTAAAAAGAACTGTGTACAAAATAAAGAAGTGTCTGGCAATATGTACAATCAGCATAATATAAATTATCAGTTTATAAAAGTATACTAAGCATGCAGTAATGTTAACTGCACCAATATGTAACCTATATGGAATCTTGTGTCTCTTTTAGAATTCAGAAGAGGGTTGGTTTATATATACGTGTATTTCAGCATATCCCCTCTATAAAGACAAAATATACAATTTAAATAGAAAATTGCGGAAATCAAGTATTAAACATAAATTACAACGATTCTTTCGCATATCGCGAGAAAAATGAATCCTTCATAGTAATTACACTAATTCATACCATTAAACAAATCTCCGCACACCAGTGGTAGAACGCCATCTCATTGTATACCGTAAATACAGACTTTAGCCGAATCATCCCGAAGATTTCACCAGAACCTCCATAAGGAAGCTCATAAAACCGAAGGAAATCTCCTAATAGAGATGTTTAACTATACGGCTTATTTAAACAACGAAGTTTCCTGCGTTTTAATCGGTTAGAAGAAACTCCTATGTTTATTTCTCTGTTTGAAACATCCCTTTTCTTGAAATTTATGCCGCCTGTGTTCTATTTGCTTCGGTTACAGACATATTTGCTAGATTAAACTGGTGAAACCGCTGAGAGAATTTACCACTGATGAGCCAGACCCTCCTACAGTTTTTTTCATAATAGTGAAGGATAGTAAAGAAGTCATTTTATAAAAAATCGCGCTAAATAGTTTCAAAAATCATATATAGAGGGAGCGCTATTTCCTTATATCTAAGACGGAAGACCTTCGATAGCTCAGTTGACAGAGCGGAGGACTGTACCAACAGCGATCCTTAGGTCGCAGGTTCAAATCCGGCTCTGAAACGGAATATCTTAATAAAGGCCTATGAAAAACAATAGAAAAAATAAAAAAATAAACGGTCAGGTGTTGATATTAAAAATAATGAAAGGGTATCCTGGTCAAGATAGGCTTTCATTATTTTTGATATATATGTATGTAAATATGTATGTATGTAAATATGTATGTATGTATATATGTAAATATGCATGTATATAGAGGAGACAAAGAATAGCCGAAACGTTGGGTAAACACAATTTTGGTTAGTTGAACTAAATAATGGGTTTGGATACCTGGTAATTTTTCTTTAGAAAAAAAAAGGTGCCCATGCGGGATTCGATCCCAGATCGTGGCTGTCGGAAATCGACAGTTTATACGCCATTGCTCTACTAGCCTTCGGAATGAAAGGTATAGTAGGTTGGAGCCAACAAACCGCGGAGGTGAAAAAACGAAGAGGAAGGCAAACTAAGGTGATGATGGTAGAAATGTAGAGCGAGCGGGTTCAAGGTCAACCCTGGTCACTGCCGAATCTCTGGCGGCTCTATCATCATCAATCAAGGCCGTCTAATCATCATCCTTCTTCTGCCGCGTAGCGTTATGCTATTATCATATGTGAGGTAAGATTTCGTAGCGGTGTACTGACCTAGCCGATCTACACTCGCGTACAAAACTTAAGGAAGTTGTACCTTTTAGCATGTATATCGGGATTCAGACAATAACTCTGAAAGATACACTCATGGACAAAACTTAAGGAAGTTGTACCTTTTAACATGTATATCGGGATTCAGACAATAACTCTGAAAGATACACTCATGGACAAAACTTAAGAAAGTTGTACCTTTTAGCATGTATATCGGGATTCAGACATTAACTCTGAAAGATACACTCATGGACAAAACTTAAGTAAGTTGTACCTTTTAACATGTATATCGGGATTCAGACAATAACTCTGAAAGATACACTCATGGACAAAACTTAAGGAAGTTGTACCTTTTAGCATGTATATCGGGATTCAGACATTAACTCTGAAAGATACACTCATGGACAAAACTTAAGTAAGTTGTACCTTTTAACATGTATATCGGGATTCAGACAATAACTCTGAAAGATACACTCATGGACTAAACTTAAGGAAGTTGTACCTTTTAGCATGTATATCGGGATTCAGACAATAACTCTGAAAGATACACTCATGGACAAAACTTAAGTAAGTTGTACCTTTTAGCATGTATATCGGGATTCAGACAATAACTCTGAAAGATACACTCATGGACAAAACTTAAGTAAGTTGTACCTTTTAGCATGTATATCGGGATTCAGACAATAACTCTGAAAGATACACTCATGGACTAAACTTAAGGAAGTTGTACCTTTTAGCATGTATATCGGGATTCAGACAATAACTCTGAAAGATACACTCATGGACTAAACTTAAGGAAGTTGTACCTTTTAGCATGTATATCGGGATTCAGACAATAACTCTGAAAGATACACTCATGGACAAAACTTAAGGAAGTTGTACCTTTTAGCATGTATATCGGGATTCAGACAATAACTCTGAAAGATACACTCGCGTACAAAACTTAAGGAAGTTGTACCTTTTAGCATGTATATCGGGATTCAGACAATAACTCTGAAAGATACACTCGCGTACAAAACTTAAGGAAGTTGTACCTTTTAGCATGTATATCGGGATTCAGACAATAACTCTCAAAGATATTACAGTGACCTTTATTAATGATACACGAGATAACCAAGTGTGAACAAAATTGCATATGTTTCCTTAAAAAAAAAAAAACAGACTACTGAAGATATCAAAGACTTTCCACTTAAGTTTTGTCCATGACTGTTCTATTCTGTTTAATCCGGGCGGATCACTCTTAAGTGTGCTTCTTCATTCAGACTTCTTCAAGGCCCGTAGTCTGGTGGTAAGACGTTGGTCACCTTGGTTCATTCATTGAAAATTTTCCTGGGAAAAATAACGCGGTGATTTTTTTCCTTTGCCTTCCGTATCTATACAACATTGTAGATTGATCCACGTGTGGAAGCCATTTTTTTTTTTTAAACTCGAAGGGCAAGTGAGAGCCCTCCTCCATATTGGGATGTAGTTGGAGACTTATCCCGATCTCTGCTCGGCCCACTTCCTGGGTTAGCTGTTCTAAGGTGTTGTGCACCCTCGCAACGTGGAGGCGACAAGTAGCAAGGAATTTTCACGCTCTAAGAGATCTCGTTATAATGCATTCCTCCCAGTTCTTCTGTACTTTGGGTGGGAAGGGGGAGTGCACTCTATACCCCAGTAAGCCTTGTAATTTTTGAGAATCGATATGAAGATTGGAGGCGTGTTTGTAGACGCTGTCTATTTCGGACACCTGGATCGAAACTATCGTTGATCTTTTTTTTTTTTACTTTAAAATAAATAGCTTCCATGACCTCTGATTATTGAACAACTTAACCCTCCTACTGTCAGTGAATGGAAATAACCAAAGGGTGGTCTGTCAAACTTATATATATATTTAGTTATAAGAATTATTATTAGAGTGAAAGTCACATTCAAATAATTAAAAAGGAAAATGTAATTTGTAAATTCTACAAAACTGAATGCATAGAAGAAATGACCCACTACATCTCTGAATGCACTACTGTTAACGAGGAACGGAATAAGATCTTAAAGAAGCCAAGTCTACGTGAACCCAGTTCAGCTAATCAGAATAATGTCCGAGAAAAAATATACAGAATAGAATTGTTTAACTTCCATAAAGCGTTAAAGAAGAAGGTAATCTCTAAGAACTAAAATTCCAGAACAATTTCCTTCCATAGTTAATTTGTATAGTTATGTTGAATACTCTGATTTCCTTTCATTTTCCCTTCTCTCCTTTTTTTTTTCCTTTTCTCCATGAAAATGATGTATGGCGAGTCCTTACATGACGGAAATGTCCTAATAAAGCTGTTGTTGTTGTATTAAAGTGAAAACATTAAGATTTTCCAGGGATAAGTTTCGTTCTTCTAAAAATAAACTTTTCCCTGGAAACCTAATTTTTTTCACTCTTATATTGATATAACGTTTTTTTATTATTATTATTGAAAATAATAATTCTTAAAAATAAATCCTTAATATCCTTTCTGCGATGGAAAAATATAATGGAAGGACTTGGGTCATCAGTGGTCAACCCTTTCCCAGCGGTTTCACCAGGTTTAATCTATCAGGGAGCTCTAATATTGTATTGGATTTGTTTACAGCTCCGTACAGCAAAACCGGCAAAATTAGTAGATAAGATAATGAGTAGACAATTTGACAATTTAAACAGTTTTATTGATTCTTCTAATCAATTTTTACAAAGGTGGAAAAAATATATAATAAAATAGTAAATAAAGGGTAGATAAAGTGTAGGGAAATATATATAGTTGTGTACAAATATCTTCAGCAAGGAAGACTTCCCCACCTTGAGAGAGTTCTCCTCCAGACAAGGTCTTCACTCCTCAGTTCCACACCGAGGAAGTACCTATAGATGTGTGTCTTGGCAGACGTCAGGATGGCCAGGGCGCAATGGTCTAGGCCAGGGGTGGCGAACCTGCGGCCTTAAGGCCGCATGTGGCCTTTTCTTGCCCAAGTTGTGGCCTTTTCATAAATTCAAAATCATATTTTTTGTTTCGCAGTTTTCAATTACTTTCATTATTTTATTGAAAATATCTAATACGAATGTCATATATTATATAATATATATAATATAGTAAATGTAAGTATTTAAATTTCAATTTTTGATCCAATATATGCCTTTTTAATTAAATATATATACAGGGTGTACCAGGTAAATTGGGAATTTCAACAAAGGTATTTTAACTGAAATTTTTTGCAAGTAAAAATTAAAATATCCGAATGAAATTTGACACAGGAGTAGATAAAAGGATATAGGTTTTATTTATTCAATGTAGTTTCCATTATTAGCTACAACAGTCTCGAGGCGAGTGCGGAATGAAGCACAGGCCTTGGCGACGATGACCTTGTCCATTTGGGTCATCACCGTGTGAACTGCTTTCTTGACAGACTGGATGGTGGTATGAGGAGCTTTGTTGACATCTCTCTCAACAACGCCCCATACATAGTAGTCGAGGGGATTGCAATCTGGAGAATTAGGGGGCCAAATATCAGGACCCCAGTGACTAGGGACGTTAAGTGTCAGCCACGATTGTGTCTTTTTTGCCTTATGGACTGGAGCTGAGTCCTGTTGGAAGACATACTTCCTTCCTGCGGCCACCATGTCCATCCAAGGCTTCACAACGGTCTCCAGAACATTGATGTAGGTGTCAGCGTTCATCCTAAGGCCCTTCTCAAAGAAATGGGGAGGCATGACATCACCTTCACTGCTGATAACGCCAAGGACCATTACGGAGGCAGGAAATTTCGTGTGCATCACGACAGGTATCTCTGAGGGGTCTTTACAGATCCAGCGATCATTCCTGGGATTTACCTTTTGGTCCACGTCAAAGTTCTTTTCGTCAGAGAAGAACCTTAGCATGCCAAAAGAGTCGTGTTTCAGGTTGTTGAGGAGGGCAGCAGCCTTTCCTTTTCTGTTATTCTTCATATTCTCAGTCAGCAACTGACCTTTCCGAAGGGCATAAGACTTGAGACCAAGGTCCTCATGGATAGTTCTGACAATTGTCATAGAGCCAACGTCCATTTCCTTGGCTATGGCCCTCATGCTCTTCCCAGGGTTTCCATCAATCTTCTCCTTGACATTTTTGACAAATTCTTCGCCTCTTACCCTGTCCGATCGACGCGAGTGCTTTTTCCTTGTAGCTATCCCCTCTTTGTTACTGTCGGCCTCATCAAACTGCTTCTTGACACGATAAATAGTGGTTTTGGGCAACTTAAGAAAATCCACTATCTCTTTGGGGCTCCTTCCGGCGCGCAGAGCAACGATGATGGCAGGTCGATTTTCAAATTCTCGGTTACTCTTCATCACTACACTGCGCACACATGTACTGTTGCATTTTACATGAATATGGCTACGTAATGAAAAAAAAACAAGTTT